GCCGCCGCTTCCGGCCGGGGGACTGAGCACCGTGGATGAAGGCGACTCTGTCGACGGGCCTGAGTACGAAGAAGAGGAGGTGGCCATCCCACTGAACGCGCCCCCCACTAACCAGTGAGTATTCACCCCCCCCCGCCCCATCTAGTCGAATGATTGAGATGGGGATTCTTCCCAAAAGTCTCGGTTTCCAGCACCGCACCCAAGTGGAAGTGTGTTGTGTATGTCAAACTCTGGGCAAGTCCTGAAAGTTTCTTTGCGCCGCCTCTTTCTCTTCCCGCATCCCGTTGGAAGCTGCCTTGCTTAGTCAACTGCCTGCTTGCCTGGAAAAACTGAAAACCTGAGACTAAGTCTTTTCCCCGCCCTTCCACTTGAAAATAAAAAGAAGCACCAAGGCGTACATTTGACAGTTTTCCTTCGCCTCTATCTGAAGCTTCCCAAAGTGGGCATTTTTGGAAAGCTTAACCATATCTTTAACAGTCCTCAACATTTTTACTTAAGGAATCCAAGCTTGAAACCCAAGATGCTGTATGAGGCTTGCTTCTCTTTTAACTATATTCTTATAGCCAGACAGGTTTGTTTCTGTCTGCTCTCCCCTTATATTCTTCTATATTCTCTTGTAGGATCCTTTTCTTTAGAAGTTAAATAGCTGTCTGAGACTGGTACTTCTTATAGACTAGTATTATTTGATTCTCCTGGTATTACTTTTCTTTCTTTTACCTGTCCTATGTTAAAATGTCCAGGATTGAAAATAGAATTTTCTGCATATAAAGGTTACTATCCTACCATGAAGTTATGCATACTTTGTATGCAAAGCTTGTCATATTAGATGTAAAATAACAAAAATTGTAGTAACATCTCTCTGAAATAGCTGATATAAATAAATTGTCATCCTTTGCATCCGGTCACCTGTCTCTGACATTAAAATGTCTCTATGTGTCTATTGAGTCTGGGCAAAAAAGTTTTTAAATAGATATTTTCTGATGAATAAAAGAAGTGATATGTATTCTGATAATGGATTAACTTTGAAAAGGAGCATAGATGGTGATCCTGACATCAGAGCAGGTTCATGTGGGGACTGAGAAGCTTTAAGTATTTAAGACTGCAAAGGTTTAAACCAGCTTTTTGTAATGTACTTAAAAGCAGAATGGGTTTAGCTTTTCAAAGAAGCAAAATATGTTTCACATCATCCATTGCAGCTAGTGCAAAATCCAGTGACTTCTTATTTCCAAAGAGACTTCAGAGGCCCTTTTTATGGACAGGACATTGCACAAAACTAGATAAAAATTGTTCATCTATTAACAGTTGAGTTTATTGAGGTGGCGCATAGTTGCCCTACAGCCTCATTTGCTAAAATGAATTTCGAACCCTGAAGACTATTTGGGTTTCTAAGTATAAGATCAAAACTATTAAGAAATTAAAGCAGAGAAGAGTAGTAGTTGTTTAGATTTGTCTTATGCTTAGATGGTATTAAATGCCACCAAAGGCTTCAAGAGAATTAGTAAAACCTTCCTTCCTTCCTTCCTCCCTCCCTTAGGATGACCAAAGCTGATCTCATAACAAACCCAGGCTACATGCAAAATTGAAATGATTTAGTGCCTTTCTGGAGGATATGGATGTATCCATCCCCCTACTGTGTTCCTTCCCTGAAAAGGGCCTATTGATGACAAATTAGAACTATTTGAATCTACATGTTGTGTTTTTCCAGTAGTATCCCTATAATTACTTTTTTAAAACGATTGTGAGAAGACTTCTCCTTGAAAAATAAAATAATGGACAAATCTGCTGTACCCAGAGTATTTCAAGAGAGGCATTTAAATTATGTTAATTTAAGTTTATGTTATGCAAATGATATGAATTGACAAAAATGAGATAATTTCTGTCATTTGCATAATGTTGTTGCTAATTGCTGTGAAATTAGATTAAATGGACATTTGGGAGTAATGCCTTTATCTTTTATTGATTTCAATGTAATTATTTGATTGTTGAGAGTCAGGTGGCATACAGGAGTCATTGAGTCGGGCGATGTGCATGTTTAATAAATTATTATTATTAATGGATAACCCCTCTGCCCAATTAGTCCATTAAATCAAGGGTTAACTGTATGCTCTTTTGGATTTTAAATATCATGTGTACAGGTGCCTTACTAACAGGATGAGTAAATATAATTGTAACAAGCAAAGTCATAAGGCTGTGCTCGCAGAGCTGTACAATAAAACAGCTTCATAAAGGTGTGCAGTATTTGGATCTGAAACAGACACCTTAGCTGTACAGGCTGCTCCTTAAAAGAACCATTCAGTTTCCTGGACTTGCATGTTATTTGTGCAGGGACAGGACAATATCTCTTAGAGTTAAAGAGGTGGCAATAGGATATAGCCGCTTGTTTCAACCTCATTAACTGAAATGCCTGTTTTTCTGAATTGAGGAAAAGATATGGTTTTTTTAAGGAGCTGCTGATGGGTACAGAAAGGCCCATACCAGATCCAGATACTGCACACCTGCAGAGCTTTACCTCTTTGCAGCCATTGTGGGAGGTCTGCTCACAAAGTCTTTCTGCATTGGTTGCTGACAAGTCTGGTACTGTGAAATGATAGTGCAAGAAATGTAAAGGGGTAATTTGGGGGAAGATTGGGAAATCCAAACTCACATCTCCCCTAGACAAATCCCTAAAATATGGTAGAAATATTCTAGCCCTGGAAATTGCATGTTAATAAAAAAGTGGAAAACTGTGTGCCCCTCCCTCTGCCACCAATTGGTATCAGTTGGAATTTAAATTTGGTGGGTCCTTTACCACAGATTCTTTTTCTCTGCTTCCGTGGGATAGCCCTGTCTGGGCTAGAATACTGTATACTTAGATGTGCAAACTCAGTGGAGCTTGGCTTTTAAGTCAACATAGAATCACTACAAAAGTATTAAACAGTCTGCAGAGAGCTTCATAAATGATTTTAGTTATTGTGTAATCTGAAAAATACATTTGAAGTAGCATTTTGAAAATCACTGTTGTATATACTAACTCCAGTGACACATTGTTCTAAATAAAGCTTTATATGTTTTATTGCTTTCTTATGTATAAAAGGGTAAGATATAAATATCCCATATAAGGGGCAGGAAATTAATACAATAATGAAATTAATATAAATAACAAAACAATAAATAAATACTGTCCACCATCTTTTTAATCTGAAAAAGTTCTAACAAAATTCTTGAAACATCTATGGCGTTGAATGCAAGTTCTTCCTTGGTAGGGCAAGATTTTCCTTTTGGTAAGCAGAGTTGTAGATGGGATTTATTTGGGTTTTGTTTTTTTTAAAGGGAAAAATTAAACACTTTTGTTAACATATTAGTAATTATTTATACACACACCAATATATAGAAAAAGATTCCCGCTTCCAAAATTTAATTGATTTTGTCTTAATAGTGTAAAATTTTAAAGTGATATTTTGTATACTTTTCTTTGTAGATGTAATTCAGGATGAATTATACAGATATTTATGAAACAGTATGCTTTATGTCTAGAGTTGATACTAGAAATTCCCAGTATCTGGGAATTTCAGATGTAATAATATATTAATAAAACTCTTGAGAAAATTATTTCTGCTATTTGGTAGAACTAGATATTATATTTATTTTCTTTTCAAACTGTAGAATAGTGATTGTATTTAGTAAAGAAATGTGAAAGTAATTTTCTAAGCCTTGTGTGTAAAAATGTTTAACTGATTACAGTACTTCACAATGCAGTTATAAATATAATTACAGAAGATGATCTAAAACTGAAAGCTGTTTTCCAGTATGTGCATTTGAGATTTCAGGATGCAAACAAATTTGCAGTCTGGTGTATATGCTCTAGATGATGAAGTCTGATGTATATATTAAGGACTATTCCAGCACAACTTTGTTAGGAAATATTGGTCTAATATGTTTTAATTTGGGAACTGTAGGGGAGGGAATATGAATCTCAAGGTTTAGTTTTGATACAGTATTCATAACTGGGTTGCAATTTAATTTTTTGTCACATGTTTATATTATGTGAAGTTTCAAGCAAGATGCCTCTAAAGGAAATTTTAAATTCTACAGTTTAAAAAATAGATAAAGATTATACTTATAGTATGGCATACATTATTAGCTTGATTGTGAGAGTCATGTGAGAAAAAGGTTACATTTCAGTAGTATAAACTTACTACTCCAGGTTTAAGTATTGTGGCATCTAATTTTCTTACTGGTTTATAATTCTTCCATGATTATAATGTCTGGATGCATAAATAGAACACCCATAAAAATATAATGCATTATGGAATTGTGATTTGTTTCCCCATTAAATAATTATATTTTTGTATCCTGTAGCAGTATGTGGAACTGTGAGTTCCAATCCATATGTATTTATATGGGAATAAGCACCTCCAAATTCATTGGGAATGAATCAAAGGCTAAAGGGACGTGGCCAATATACATGAGAATTTTTTATTTTATTTTGATTACCATATGAATACTGCAGTAAGTTATACATGGCGCTGCCTTTGAAGTCAGCTTGGAAGCAGGAATTGATGCTGGATAGAGCAGCCAGATGCCTCCTCTGGGAACCCCATTATTCATTTATTTGCTTTATCTGTGTGCCATCCATTCTTGAAAGCTCTGGGCAGCTAACAATCAGAAACACCACCAACCCTCTCCCAAAATAATAAATATACCCACTAATAAAATAACCAAATGCAGTTATCAAAATTATACAAAAAATATATACAAAAACATGTGTTCGCTAAATTCAAATCATCAATCACAGCACTCCCTTCTCCTTAGCTCAATGGAATAACCAGGTCTTAACTGTTGTCCACAGGTGGTAAGGAGAAGACTGGATCTCCATAGGGAGGGAATTCCAGATAATGGAAACAGTGACCAAAATTCCTGCTTCTGAAGCATCATCAGATGGCATTCTCATATAGTTGGGACCTGGAAGAAGTTGACAGTATATTACTTGATCAGATGGGCAGATAGATGTGGTAGAAAGTAGTTCTCCAGATAACCAGAGCCATGGAGGGCCTTAAAGATGACAAGCAGCAGCTTGAATTGCATTCAGAAGCCAATCAGGAACCAATGCAGCTCCTGAAACAGTGGGGTCATGT